TCTCACTGCCTACTACGCAAAAATTAAAACTTCCAAAAATGAATTCAAAATATTGAATTTTCATTTCAAGGTTTATTAGCTGAACAAATTGTCTATTAACATAATAAAAAATAAATGAAATATAAAATTTTCTTCCCATATATACCAACATAACCCTTCCCCACTAACAATGAGTGACATGATTCTGTCATCTATTTCAACTCTTTATATATGCAACTTGCATTTATATTTTTTTACATTCAACTGTTCTTATAGTTAAGATCATCTCACTCAATTTATATTTCAACTTCTCTGAGTAACCTTGAATCTGATTGGTCACTCTTTCGTTTCCAATTTTGACATCATTTTCAAAACGTCTATGTTAATCTGTTACTGCGTTGTTACTTGATATACTCAATTCAGAGTATTATAAATCAAGTCTTTCCAAATAGCATTCCCTGTAACTCATTGTTGTTTTCTCATTCAATCTTTCAACTTTTCCTGTTTTCCAAGGCCATATTTTTTTTCTATGTGCATTTACTTGATACATTAGATGACATATTCCTTTGCTAGATGTCTAAATTTTTTAGACTCACACACAGAATTGATTGATCAACAATACTATCCAAACCATATTTTTCATGATAAATATTTATTAATTATACAGACCATCTGTTAATCCTAAATGGTTTTATGTGTTTTCATTCATAGAGATCTGGGTGGACTACTTACAACAATAACAACTTTGTTCGGCAGTACAACTAAGGCTAGCCTCTATATCTAGAGCCATGTCCACAATATTCAGTTTTTTTTATAGATTTTTGCATATTTAGGTGTGATGATGATAACATCATACCCAAACATGCAGTGTTCTCCAGAAGCCGTTTTAGCTGTCAATTTTACCAGTAAAAATAACTGACCAACCAGTAAAAATTGTGTGTTGGTAGAATAAAAAAGCACATTATTAGGCCTAGGTTAACTAGGCTGCCCTTCTTTTAATAAACGAACATCATTCCTTTCCAGGCCTAAGCTATGATTACGTATTATTGTTTTTTGAAGCCATTTAAATCCACTTAAAATTGGCAATATCTGAAGTTGTGTGCGCTTAGCTGGCTCTATATGGACAAATTTACCAGTAAAAATTTTTCAATTGGGAGAACACTGTATATGGGTGTGATAAGTTATGGCATCCTTATGCCCATATTATAATAATGTGTTTGATGACATCATCATGTCAGTATATGGATCGCATCAAAATGCAGCAAAATAGAGACTTTATAATAATATATGTTGATATATTATTATAATAGAGACTTTTATAATAATATATCAACATAATGATTGGTTGATAACTAAGTATATACTGTATTTTAAAATTATATTTCGACCATAAGCAAAAAAATCAACAAGTCAGATCACCCGAATATAATAAACATTCCACTTGAAATACGACTGACGGTACAGTTCCAGGAGCACAAGTATAAGTGAATATACTAGGCCTAGTTGTTTATTTGTCTGATCCAAAGTTAGACCTGAAATTAACAACTTTAGCTAATTATCAGCTTCGAACTATTTCAATATATTCCAAGGCATTTTAAATCTAATCAATCAAACCCTTAATATGTCTAATTCATTTCATTTAAATTTGGTAACTTAATATTGTATCACTTTGAATACGCAACTCAAAGTTAATTTTAATTGAATTTTTGAAGTTTCATTATTTTATCAAACAAGTAGAATTATTCAATTAATTATATAGGCCTATAAATTGATTATTATATTTTAATTAATTTTTTCTGTTCAGCTATTACAATATCAATTTTTAATTACTGTATGTTCATGTTAATTTAATGTTTCAAACCCTATTAATATGCCGATTCGGTAATTAATGTAGTTGTAATTATGTTTCTATTTACTGTATGTCATTTACTATATAAGCATCAAGGACCTAAATTCAAGTGAACAGCCTTGTACACTTGACAAAATAACTTTAAGACCACATAAAATGAATTGCTAGTTTAACGCCCCCGCCCTCATCAAATTTTGGAGCATCATGAAAAAATTTACTATTTGCTAGTGTTCAAAAAATCATTCATTTTTCCATGGACAATAAAAAAAATGACTATCTGAAAGAATGATATCAATAAGAAGAGGTGGGAAAATAAATGGCAGAAATACATTACGAAGATTTATTTTATTTCTTTTATAAACAACTATTTTTACTTTTTACCAGCCATATTATTATTAGTATGCAGGATAGTAAAAAGCAAATAGTAAATACCCCTACCGAAAAATAATTTTAAATCCTGGACGTGAAATTTTGAATAATTTATTTTATTTGGCCTAATCTTGTATTAACCAAAACTTTTAGACACATAGATTGATGGTTTCGATAGGTACGTGGTTGAGTGGGTGGGAGGACAGATCAATTTTATTTTTCTCTACACATTAGGTATATAATTTGTTATACTATATTACCCCCATATCATCATTATCACATCCTATTGCAAAAATCCTATATTATACATTTTTCAAGGGATATTTAACCTTCATTATCATTATAACCTACCCCATCATAAAAAAGCATACATTCTTTTATTCAAGGGATATATAATTACTATCAACACTATTATATCCTACCCAATCACATTATCACTCAGTAGAAAATTATAAACTTGATCGCATCTAGATATTAACGTGAAAAATGATTATTTCCATCGTTGAATGTCTTGACAGTAAGAATCCCCCGAATGGATGGAAAGTAGTCTCTAAATAAAACGCTACTCGGCTAAGAAAGCACCGTTCAAATTTCCTCCTTTTCTCATTACATCTGCTGGATTTATATTGCGTTTTTATCAGACAAGGCCAGTGCAATAAATGTACTTGACCAATTACAGTTTAATGTCAGCCTGTTTGACAAATCTACAATAACCCACGTTCAAAAAAATTATCTTCATGTTATTTGCCAGTAAATAAATTACTCTTGGATTTTGTTATTAACTTTAATATAATTATAGTACATATACCTATATTAAAATCTTATTAAATTATTTTACTGTCTTTGGTTTATGTCTTAGGATTTTTTTGTAAAAAAAAATATGTTGCCATGATCTGCAAACTGAGTAAAACAACCTAGGATGGCTATATAAATATATGATGGGGGAAAATTTGAGATTAATCAAAAGAAAATGAATGAATGCCAGCGTTGTCTGTGGAAAGCCTTAGTGATAGCTTAGAAAGCGATATTTAAAGTTTTCCTTATTTAACACATAATTACAGTATGCCCAATTTTTTTTTAAAATTCTTCTTTGGTGTAGCAAGTCACGGCAGCCAAGGGGCCTGGCCTGTAGTTTCCCACCCGCACTGGTACTACATTAGTGAGCAGTAGCATTTAATAATAAAATATATTAATTATAGAAATATGGAATCCATATTTTGTCTAATGTTGAACCCCAATATTAGAGCAAACATAGGTAGTATATCATTAATCTTTTGATGTAAAAATACATCATACCAACAGCAGCACAGGCAACAGTAGTACCAATAGTAGTCTAAAGTACTTGTAACAGTTTAGAAGTAGTGAATCACAAACATTATTATCAACAAAATACATGTTGCTATTCAACAGCCTTGTAAAACCACATGCAAACATGAAAAGGCTGACACTCTAACCTCACAAGATCTGTACTAAAACCTTAACATTTCTAGCAGTTGCTCCTACAATCCTCCCATTAGCTGGATTTTGACTACATTTCAAGTTATCCTGGCCACAGAATGCTCTATGTATGACCTTAATAGCAATGAAATGGGCGGTGTGACACTAAGCATGGAATTTCCCTACAAATAAACTTTTGGAACGTCTGTGGAACACTTGAATACCTCAACAATCGCCATTCATTATACAGGTATGGTTTAAATTCTTTGGAGGATCATGCAGGTAAGCTGATGTTAAACAGGTGATATGAATATAAATCTACTTGTACTGTAGTTTGATATGATTTTACAGATTTCTCCTCTATTTCAATATTTTATGTCATAATTTTACTGCCTTATATTTTGTTTGTTTATAGATTTTGTACTAGGTAAATAATATTAGTTTAGCTGTCTAATGTAAGTTTTCCCCTTTAAGTATTTTGTTATTTAAATAATAAAGTTTGTATTGTCTGGTTAAGAACTTCTGTATATAAATATAATTTGACCATCATCTAAAAATTATTTTTTTATTATTTAAAATAATTTATTCTAAAGAGTATTATTTACTACTGTTCCACAAACATACACATTCATTATATTCATAATAACAAATGATGACGATGACGATGACGATGATGATAATGATGATGATCATGATGATAAAATTACCACCAAAGAACTCTTCTTACAAAGACAAGAAATTACTATTGACGATCTGTTCAAGTACTGTATGCCTATAGCCATCTGTATAGCTTAGAGAGCTGTACAGTAAATGTGATTGCACAAGCCCTCTAGTGTCTGCATGTGAAAATGTCTGTAATGGGGCAAGCAGGGAGTTGTTGGTACAAGGTACCTGATTTTTATCTTTTGAGCTTTATTGTATCAACTTGTTGATTGTATTCTGGGTTAGTTAACTGGAATTAATATAATGCAAATAAACATCTTTTTTAAAAAGAAACAAACTGGATTTTTGTAAGGTTTTCTGCTCCAATAACTTCAGTATATGTATCAGATGTGTGGTTTTTATTAAATTATTTAAAATTGTTTCCTTTTCGTTTCTATTTATCTACAAAAACTGTTATTTCTATTTACTAAATGGATTTGGTATAATATGTATAACTAAATCTTGTTGCATTCTTTAATTTCAGAGAAATACAGGGTTACATTAGTAATTACGAATAATCTTGTACTATTTATTTTGTTCACAAACAGCATTAGATACAATAACTGCCACATTTTTTTACTGCCTGCCAAGTAAACTATCCCTGCCAAAGTGGTTAGGAACCGTCGTAGAATTGAAATATATTGTTCACATTGTCTTTACTTACTCTCACCTGTGTCACTTCCGTTGTCCCCAGGTAAATGTGAGACCATACTTCCTAGGCCTGTTTCTGATTCTGGATTAGGACTTGTGTCTTCATGGTTGTACCCTGTGGTTCCTTGAGTATTGTTAGGAAGTGGAGGGTGACTCTGTAAAAATGGGGGAAAAAAAGATGCATTTAATAGTGATTCGAATCCAGAGAGCTGGCCTTATGTTTATAGTGCTTTCCCAGGTTCTTAATCAAAAATGAATCACGGATTACTGAAGTTATCTGAGTATTATTCATTAAAATGTTAATAAAGTTTAAAAAAAAATAATGGTATGTGTTTACATGTTTCGTATTTATAAATGTTTAGATAAAAATTTAAAATTATAAGATAAAATTTTTAAAAATTATACAGAATAAAGAAAATTGTTTGTGTAAATGATATAATATGCATACATAATGAAAAACAAGCTTTTTTTTTACAAACAGTCCCATAGTACATTTTAAAACTTACCAAACTACATGAAATAGTGTTAAATAGTTTAATTATATATTTATTTTTTATAACTCTGATGCATCCAAATAATACAGAAGTACAAGTTAATTAGTCATGAAGCCCTATCCGTCCTCTTTTATTGTTTTTAAATAAGTTTGACATCTATTAGAAATCATAAATAATTCTTTTTTTTACAGTTGTTAGCTGTTTTCTATTGGTTTATTTATAGTAATTGCGTTCAGTAATGTACACTATGATTGGGACTTCTGGCTCATTAGAGTCATAGAACTAACTGGCCTCTTTAGAGGTCCCAGGACCTTTTTGAGTCAATAAATATAGGAAATTAAATGAATTTAATATAGTTCAAGTTATTATTTAACGAAATACAGTCTGTGTTTGAAAATACTTGAAAAATACATTCAATATTTTGAATTACCTATTTTGAAACTTAATAGCTTTTGATTTTGAAAATTAAAATGAGAAAATATTGCCCTCACTATAATTAATTGAAAAAATAAATATTATTTTTGCCTTTTCTATTTATATTTTCATTGCATATACCCTTAAATTGACTATTTAACAAATGAAGAAACAGCAAGTCTGTTAATTAAAATACATATGAAAACTGAATTATTTTGTTCAATATTCACAAAAACCTGTTTTATTTATATTGTTTCCTATGTTTTTATGGCAGTATTAATATAAAAATAGATGAAATTATTAGAAATTAATTATTAAATGATAAAATCAAGCCTTCTATAATAATTTATGAAAAGACTGCTCTTCAAGAAAAAATATAGCCGTAAACAAAATATGCAATCAATTGATAAGTTTGACATAAGAGTGCGTGTTACTTGCTCCGAAAGAAAGTGATGCAAACTATCGTGATTTAATATTTTAAACTATATTGTTTGTTCATTTTAGGAAATAGAGTTGGGTTATTTGTGAGTGAAGATTCTCGCATCTTAAAGATTTGAACATAGAACACTGGCTTAGAAAGGCAAGCACCTCCATCCATCCTTTCATCTGTTGGGCTGTCTATCCACATCCATCCATCAAAGGATTTGAACATAGATCCTTGGGCCTAAAGCCATCCTAATTACTAACCTACTTTCCATTCATCCATCCCTCTCTCTCTCTCTCTCTCTCTCTCCATACTTCCCACTCTGTCTCTCCGTACATCCACATCAATCTATCATCATTCTTATCCATAAATCATCACTTCCTCCCTCCACATCCTTCCATCCCTGTATCCATTTGTTCATTCAAATGTATACATGTCTACCCCACTGCCCACTTGCCTCTCTGTCCTCCTGTTGGCGTATGCATTTATTAATCCATCCATCAGATTTTACATTTTTTTCATTGTAAGAATCTACTCAGTGGCCTCATTACAATTACCCGTTGGCCCCTTTACAGACCTAATCTTTATATATGCATGCTACAATCGCGTAGTTATTTTTTATTAAACCAAATAGAACGTTACCAATCTTTCAGTGGAGCATATTCTAAGAAGACTTAAAAGCTGTTTTTAAAATCTCAGTGCATTTCATGGCATGAAACTTTGAAAGCCAAGTTGAATTAATTTCTATTAAAGAGTTGTCATTTAAAAGCAAAATGTTTGTATGTATACGCTCTGGATTTCGTCGTCGCTGCATATCCACCGAGGGTGTTAGTATCGAATATTGCTCCGAGCCCTTACTAACCTAAATACAGCCATCATTACATATGCTTTGATTGCCGTAACCTGGTTATTAAGTCTCAGCTCTTAGCTGAACTGAAATCGTCATAGAATTGATGAATTTATTTATCATTACTATCAATAACAATCAATGAATAACAAATAACAATCGACAGAAATTCATATAATTATATTTGGTTATAGTACAAACCACTACAAGTTAAAAAAAAACCCAAAAAAAACACTTTTTTCTTTTAAAGATGTACTGTCTTAAACAATAAATGTTGAATTACAAAAAATAATTGCTTATTATTATTTTTTTAAATAATTAAGTTTTTCAATTGGAAAATTAGAACAAGTATTCTTTCCCACTTAGTAAAAGGTGGATGAATAATACATTTGGTTTCCTTCTCTCATAGGCACTTAAATTGACTGGCAGAAAATTGGAATATTTTTTGAGGTAGACATCTGTAAATTAGCAAATAGAATATTGAATTGTTTTAATTATGCATCATTAGAAATTGAACTTAGTTGATTTTAAATGAGCAATTTTACATATCAATTATTAATTGAATTATGATTGAGTGTTTTCATTTTACATTACAAAATTAATAAAATCTGAAGTTTCCTCCAACACACAGACACAACCTTCTCTGCCTCAAAATTTTTTTTTGGTTGGATGTAAAAGGGTAATTTTGTTTTTAATATTAACACCAGGTATTCCTTAATTTTATATTTATAATTTATTATTAATTGCATATATATTAACAAATATGTACTGTATATCAATATAAATTGAGAAATGAAATGTTTATCTGTACAGTTCACTAAGTCAGTTTCTATTATGAAAATAAGTCTTCCTATATCATCATGTAATTATTAATTATCTTGTATTTAATAGAGTAACTTGAGACAATCTTTCAATTATATGCACATATAAATATAGCTATACATAACACTATAATGTAGATAGATTCTTGAAATTGATAAACAATATAAAAGTAAAATAACAATAATAAGAAATAGTAAACATGTATGTTTAAAATTACAATCTCATTACGCCACATCCTCCCCCACCCCCACCCTCACAAGTTTTCTTACATTAATAGTGGTTAGAAAAAAGGAAGTGTTTAAACTTATTTTCACATAAATGGTTGAGATACCTACAACCATTATGAACAGCAATAAATTTGTGAAACCATATAGGCCTATCAAAGAAAATAAGAAAAATGTAAGTACAATATTCAATATTAAGTACAATTCTCTCGAAATTGATTGACATACCCATAACCATTATGAACAGCAACTCAATATTAATAATATCAACACACTGACATCCATTCATTCATAATTGTAGGTTATTTCACTAGGTTATAAATGTGAAAATTAATAAAATCGAAATTAATCAATTTTTATGTTTCATACATATTTTTTCCAGCGAAGTCAATTTAGAAAAAAATATGTGTTAAAAAAAGGCATGAATTGTAATTACTAAATATACACAATGGGACCACCTTTGGGAGGGACCTGAAAATTTGGGGTGGTCTTGAGGTTGGTCTCTAATTAGAGGGCTAGCTTTGTGTTGAAAGGTTGAAGATTGTTATTTGGGTCTTTGGAAATGTGGTCTCAAATTAGAGGGGTCTCGAATTGGAAGGTACACTGTATTTAATTACGTTTTTGTTAGCTTGACATACAGAGAATATAATATTTCACACTAATTCGTCCCAAAATTGATAGACTATCACTACATCTCTCCATCCCCTTTACCCCTTTCCAATTTCAAATTATATGAGGCATGTTGTATAAGACTTTAATATGAATATTTTGGTGCAAGCAATGTATTTTTTTAACTATATAATAGCCTCATAAATTTTCTTATGTACTTTAATACTATTTCGCTGTGTGTTTACATCAGGAAAATATCATAGGAGTGATGTTTTGCGCTACCTGACATATTATTGTACCAAATACTCAGTACGTTTCCAAATACTTGCGAAAAAAATTTGTAAGTGATTCAGGAGGGAATTGAACCCACAACCTCCAGAGAAATAGCCTGGCACCATAACCACTGGACCACTGAGTTAGCACTTAGTGACTAGTGTTGAATCCGATCCTTAAGTAGCAGCAGGTACTACAAATGCTATTTCTTTACCTTAATACTTAAATCTCGGTATTAGCCATTTATCCATGAGGAAGTTACCTGCAGCACAAATGTTTAATGAACCGTACAATTCGTCATAATCGTTGCCTCTACTTATTATTCTCTGATAATATTTGTAATATTATATTTTCCTTTCCCTAATAATGAGATCAAATTGCATATTGATTCCGCTTTGTCTAGCATTGTTATAATTTACACAGGTAATCAGTCTGCCCCTAAAAACAAACAATAGCATTAATTCAAAAATAATTATAATTTGAACTTAAATCTTTCTCCTTGTATGTAAATTTTCTCCACCTATTAGTAATCAAAATTTAATATATTTAGAGAAATTTTCGACCATTAGAGTATAGAAATTATGTGCATTAGTAGGATTGATAAATTAATCAAAATAATTCCAGATAATAGCTACATTACATTATCATATTGCTTCAAATCTGATTATAATTTTCCAGCAGAAAATAACCTTCCAAATATCTACCTACATTTTGAATCGGAAAAAGCTAAGGGAGTCGAACGCAGACCTAGATTTTAGATGCCACCAGAAATTTACAACTGAAGCTAGCGCAACGCGACATAAAACGGCTTTTAGAAATACAAACTGCGATTATCATCAATATCTTTGTAACGTCTGATTAGAAAGTGAATTCAACAACATGTCCCTACCACAGTAAAGTCTGTCACTTGAGGGTATAGCCGAGTATGAAAGATGTTTTGAGAAGAAGGAGATCTAGTAAGGAAGTCGCCAAGCTTGGCGGATCAGTACACTGAGGTAATCGTACAGTGTCTGTAATCTCCACTACAGATGGACAGAGTATTACTGCCTATATTTACAATAACAAGCATTTTCAAAGGAGGTTGTTCAGGTTTATTTCAATGACTTTGATAAGGCAATGACATTAGAAGTGAACTCGGTGTAGAGTTTGACAATACGAAATCGGTACACATATCTGTTTATGGTTTTCACCGATTTAATTTCTCCTACGAAAAACAGAAACATGATTTAGTTTTTGCATGGCCTCATTACAGTAAGACAAAGGATTTCAATATAAACTTCTGAATGTATGCGAAAATTGAAAGTAAAATTAGAATGAATTATCGTAAATATATTTATCGTTTTCTACTGATGTTAATATAATTTACATACATTAAATGGATAACATCAGATTTAATTTATTAACATAACATATTTTCTATAAGCAATATATATGAAAACAAATTACAGAAAATATTATTAATACCATCACAAATTTTCTTCTTTTTATTCCTTTTAATATTATCATTATGATTACTATAATTATATTATTATTATTATTATCATTATCATTATTATTATATATTCTCATTATTCTTACTTTTATTTTTGTAATTATTATTATAAAAAGAATACATGCCCCTATTATTGCCTTATTACCTTTTTAGTCATGTTACAATTAAATTCTATAATAATATTATTGTTTTATCACCATTTTTAATATCATTATCATACTATTGTCATTATAATATCTATAACCCTTTTTTTCCAATGAAATATGAATAGATTTACTTTCATTCTGAAAATTAAGTAGCCATAAAATTGACCACCGATTACAGACGACGGTGAAATATAGTCAGATACATAGAAGCTATTCATACAAAAAAAAAAACACTGCGACGAATTTCTCAAGTAATTTCAAAATTAATCTGCACATTTCTATGGAAACCCCAAATGTATTTTTGACTTGCATCAGTGAGATCCAATCAATTTGTTGTAATGAGTACCAATAAATCAATATAAAAAGAAAGATCCAGTCTCCAAGCTACGCTCATCCTTGTCACCATGTATAATTTATAATCCGAAACATAATACTTCTTCTCTCATCAAAATTTCATACTCAGCGTTAGATCGGATTAACTGTAATAACGATTACGGTAAACATACATCATTTGTGCAGGTAATAATAAGCAAGAATTTTAAATTTGTTTTATCATGTAATTTCACGGGCTCCTGCTGATTGCGGTTCTCATCAATTTGCCCCATTATCTCGCGTCGGGCCTCGCTATACCTTTTTCTGTACTGTTTTAGTGAGATGTAAACGAGACGTAGCGAGGTCTTGCCACAGAGCACATTTATAATTTCTTGCGTACCTCCCCCTCCTTTATGTTTAATACATTTTATTGATGTGAACAAGTAATGACCTTATAGGTCACCTGACTGGGACTAAAAATTGAGTCATCATGCAAACATATCATTCAGCACATTACAACCGAGCTGAGTATACTATGTTATACAGATATTAGAAACACTCGAGCATATATTACTAAAGACATGCGTATACTGTAGCTATGTACATGTAGGCTACAGCAATCATTTTTATACATACATTAACTTATTTTAGGGTCTACTTTAAATAAGTGCTGTTACAACTCTATACATTTCTGCTAAAAATTAACAAGATTATACACATTTAATATACTAATAATAATTAATAAAATTAATTAATTATTAATTGTATAGTTTAATATATAAGTATTAAAAGCAGGCTGGTTAAAGTTAAAAATAACATTTTTTTTCATAAGAGAATTAATTTTTAATTCATTAGTTTGATTAATTGATTGTTAATATCATTTTGGCATGAATATTTCGATAGCCATAGTGTTAAACCTGCACTATTATTTGAGAACGTTGTAATTTAACACTTGCCTCAAAGGCCAATTTCTGAGCTGTTATTGTGAATTAAATGCTACTGCTAGCCTACGTCTGCGAAGAGACCTAGCCAGAAAACACAGCAGCAGGCCCATAATTTATTCCCTGTGTACTATATCAGTTTGCTAATTTCGAATGCTAAACATCCTAGTGTGAAACCAAAATTCCTACGATATCAACCGCACAGACTGTTTAAATTCGCACAAAAGCAGTTTGGTGTTTGCGCTAATAAACTATTTTGTATCTGATTGTTTGGGAGAATCAAATCCGATCAAAGTCGAATAATATCGAGACGTCATTTAGTTAATGGAGCAACATTTCGACTGTGGCTTTAATCTTGTGCATTGTGCTGTAAGCAAAGGCCCCTGATTAGCAGAGTGCTCCCGCATCATCGCATTCATTTAATTAGATGAAGGAGAGATGTGGTGTACGGTCCATTGCAGTAGCTATCAGCCTGCACAAAAGCTCCTCTCCCTAGGCACTAAAAACCTACTTACGACACGGGCAAAGTGGGTCATAGCCAATAGAAGGTGAAGAAATTGAATTTGAAGTATGTATTAGGAATATAGTGAATGGTAGTGCGTATTCTGACAATATTAACTCGCCATAAATGATTTCTAATCTAAAGGATCGTTGATCGTGTGCAACCATTTGAGTTAAATGATATAATAAATGATGAATAAGGAGAGTCCAAGGGGTTAAACGACTGCTAGCTTTGTTTCTATTGTCCTTTTTAAAAATTATGCCTACTTCAGCTATGATACAGCCAAGACCCTTGGTAGGTATAATATGTTTGCCAATGTGGCAGAAGGCCATCACAGTACTTTCATGTTTTTATTACGAATAGTATTACTCCTTATCGATTCACTCCTATATTCATCGAGATAGTTATCAATTTAATTTATTTATTTTGTTATCTTAACTTATTCATACTAATTTTAATGCAGTTTATATAGAACACTGGATAATAATCATTTATTTTCATATTTTTTTATTACCAATTATGAAGCACATTAAAAGTAATGTAAAATAACAGTGACATACTTACCTTTAAATTTGTTATCAATAGTATTAATTTTTTTTCTCTATGAATATATTTATATACTTAGTTTATTTCTTCATTTATTATTATTATTATTGAAGCAGATTCTAATGAACCTGGAAATTTGTCACTGTAATTTGTCACCCCAATTTTATGGAACAGACTCCCGGGTCTTAAACTCTGCAATCTAGGTAATTATTGTGCTGCAGTTCCATAAGCATCATTTGTTATGACTGCTAGTGACTTGTTCATTATTATTATCATTACTACTATTCAGGAAATACTAGTGCAGTCCTATATACATTTTAAATTTCGTAATATTCACAACTATTATTAGGAACGGTCGGCACAATGGTTACAATTCCTTAGGTTGGGGGTTAAGATCCCTTCGCTGTAAATGTGGCTTTTCATTGAATAAGGCATATTAGGCATTTTACCTCCAGTTATCTCTTTCGAGTACCTGGGTAGGTTCTAACACAATTGCACTGATAACTGCAATACCACAGGATTCTACCAAGGAGATGAGTACCGGTATGTGTTCCATAGGGAGGCAGTTTGGCGTAGTGAAAATGGTTTGGTTTTCCAACTCGAGGTTGGAGGTTGCAATCCTTCGCTGTGCATTTCGCTGTTTCCTTGAGCAAAGCACTTAACTACATTGCTTCAGTCTACCCAGCTCTACCAATGGGTACCAGCAAATAGCTGGGAGTAACCTGCGGTGGACTGGTGACCCACCCAGGCGGAGTATCACACTCTCATCCTACTTGATACTGGGGGTAAGCCCCAGCCCATATAAGCCCCGTGGCTCGGAAAATATTTACTTTATGTGTTCCATATGTATTTGATCCAACAGCCGGTATAATAACGTGAAGCAAATCATTGACTTGATGCATTATATTACAATACTATAACATATTAAATGATTTGATTTATATTTTTCAGACAAATCCAAACATTTATATAATCAATTTCAATAGCACACATCTTACCTTTGTTTCAGTTAAACACACTGGATGGACAAGGCCTTCATTAGTTGAGGAGTGCTCTTTTTTAAATGCTGATTCGTACGCCTATCATAAATCATCAAACAAATTTCCAAAGTAACTTTCCTCGCCCAGTAAAAACAAAATTCTCACACGCTTTTTATAAATGTGACTGGTTTAAAAAAATATATATTTTGGGGAATGATTTGGAGTAAGGAAAAATTGCATAGCTTTTATATAATTGCTCAAATGATGTTAAGTTATTAGTTGCGTAACTCTGATATATATAATGGTTATACGTATAGCTTCAATGACATGTGCAAGTTTAAATGGTGCAAAATGAGAACAAACTAATAGTAAACATTATTTAAAACCATGCACTGGCATCTCTCAGTTAATTGTGTACTTCAAATATGTTTCAATTTCAGTCACAATACTTGGAAGAATTTCATCTAGTCTTTAATTGAATTAATGTACTGTAATTGGTTCTCTTTAGTCTATATATTAAAGAACCAATTACAGCATATTAATACAGTTACAATATTGTGGAAAAATTTAAAGAAATGTATGTTAAATTAAAATACATATTATTGCTTATTAATAGTTTATTTGTATAAAAACCTTGTGTATATTTTATAATCTAAAGGAAGACACAATAAACATTTTAAATTATGGTTTGATTAATATTATGTTTTCATTCTACATCAGTTTATGATTTTTGTTTTAATTACTTTCATTTTGACAAACAAAATTAATTTCTTTTTTTATACCGTGTGTCCATTGTAAAAATAATAAATATTTAACATGGAAAATGATATTGGGCCTGTGAAGTATCGATATAATTACTACAAAAATAATCTTGAAAATGATAATGACCATCATAAATGGGAACAATAAAGATAGTTAATGCTATAAAATATAAAATCAGGTCTACCGATAACTTTCCATTCATCTGTTCGTTTGTTTTATTGCCAACAGATTCAAATTTACAATAATTATTAACATGAGCACATGTTTTGCATTAATGTATTTCAGGTGATGCACGTGTCTATCTCCAGCTGCTCAACTTTTTGATTTGTCTGTTTAACTACTTCAAGATTTGCACATTTTATCTTTTAATACATTTTTCCTTTTCAAAAATTAAATTTAAGCTCGACTGCCTATCTGAAGAGATGCATAAACACGTATATTTACTGAAACAAAGATGAAAAGTATAAAACACAGATCAGCGAATTTTCTCCGCCATTATATCAAACGTGATTGACTTTAAAGAACCTCTGGTTTTATCTTTATTTGTAGAAAAGATTGATAATCTTTACGAAAAAAACTGTAGTCAAAGGATGGTCGTTCTTAAACAGGCAATCCCTTGCCAATTTCTACCTTAATAAAATAATGAAGTCCCAGGAAACGATAGGCACACCGAAAAAGTGCAAAGTGCAGTGATCAGATCGTCACTCTGTTTGGTGAGTCATCGATTAATCAAAGGTTTCCAAGTGGTCAAAGGGGAAGGGGGCTGATTATCATTTGCCAATACTGAGAAGGGTGTAAGGAAGCTACGTCGCATGACACACAATTTACATCAAGAAATTTAGTAACTTTTAAACAAACTAAACGCTTAACTCTTGCCAACCTCAACATCTCAATTTTAATGTCCAAACATGTATAGGTCCTAAATAATGAATTAAGTGTTTAAAAAAAAAAACAACTAATAAACGATTATTATTTAATTATAAGAGGGGAAAACATGTATAATTTATTTCCTATATAGAAAGAAAAAGGAAAAGAAAGTCTACCGGGCAAATTGAAAATTCTGGCAAGACTTTGCATTTCCTTCAGAAATTTAAGACATGAATTTGTACAGTAAAATGATGGCTTAATTGACCCAGCTCTGTGTAGAGTTCAACCAAACCTGCCAGACTCAAACTCAGCCTTAACATGTTTGTGTATTTGTTCTGGGTTGAGAAACACATTCTAAGCCCAGCTCCTTCAGTGAGAAAGTCACTAGGCTAAAGGGTGAATATAGAAATACAGGGGGATCTCATTGCAATGTTCTGCCTGGCTCCATAATCCGAGGTTGTTTCAGGATTTAATGCGCTAGGAGCAAGTACTGTTAGTTGATAATATCCAGGTTTTATCTCATCTCCAGGCTAAGGGACCAGGGAGTATTGCCAGAGATTAGTTCTTGATGAGCTTGGCATCTATAGTATCAACAGAAGCTCTCACCTTTACCTTTAGATTACCCCATCAGATCAAGTTTAACTTGGTTGATTGATGCAAGGTGAAAGGAATGGCTTGTACTGACTGTACTGTACATGAAACCAACACCACCACAAAAATAAAAGTAAACCTGCTGGTTCACCAACAGTACATGAACTTTAAAATATTGCAACTTACAATTTAAAATTATGATGAATCATTCATCAAAAACTATATTTTAATTTAATTATTGATATTATTATTTATATTATCAAGTACTATTATTGTTTGATCATTTATTCGTGGCAGAATTGTATGCTTTTATTTTGTTAATTGATGAGATAAAATTTTTGTACTTACTATATATGAAAATAACTGTATAATTATTCTATAATACAATTTTTCCTATTTATCTAAGCATATAATTTGGATTTGACATTTTTCCTTCTATAACCTATGCCTACATAAATATAAAAATGATTTCATGTTAGGATAAGACCAACTAGTTATTAAAAAAACACAATAAGTTATTATAAAGCTCTTAAATTCTTAATACCATATATTATTCAATTTCTTTGACAACATCAAATTTTATTATACTACTAAGCATTTTCTCTGATTTAATTTTTTCTTGTATATAACATTTTATGCACATTCAGTGGATAAAATAATTTGTAACAGACTTGTGTTAAAAAGGGAATTCCTTTTATTAACAACATACAAAATATATACATGCAAGTGATTCTAATATGAGAATGTTCACAGAGCATCATACACTGTGTGTCTAAAACAGATGCATTAATAATAATTTCAAGAATTAATGTTTCATTTAGCGATAGAGATATTAACTTCTTCCGATCAATGCCTCAAATCTGACAAATTGAAAATTGATTGGCCATCTATTAGAAAAACAGGTATTAAATTAATTGATACACGTTCATTATGCCATAATCCATATTTTCTATCATGATCAATGCCATGACTGAAATGATTTGTTTCCATTGCCGTTTATTGTTTCCTAGATCATCAGCACTTCATCACGGTTGTCAAGCTAATCTTATCTTGTCGAATTTACTTTGCATTATACGGATTGTAACATCACACATCGGCCAGAGTCCCTTATCCTCCTATTTCTTGAGAATGGCCGATAATTTTTTTTTTTTTTTTTTGCATCATAAAAATATAATTGTTCAATTAACTGAGAAATTTCACAGTTTTCCAAATTCCAGTTGATGAATGGTTGTATCTTGTATGAGACTGTTGGATTTCTGTCAGAAAAAAAAGTACTGAAGATGAATCAGTAACTTCGAAATGCGTGCTTAAAGAAATGATTTATTCTCAACAATCCATCTATTGGACCATCTCAGCTTATCCAGTCTTAATTACACCTTTAATATCATTGCCTCAGACTCCACTTCAGGAACCATTTTAAGGATATAAGTGGCACTTGTTTAGCAATCATTGACAGCTTTCAAACACTTGTTAAACCCTAATAAACTTGATATAATTATATATAAATATATAATTTAATATTTTGTATTGAGTATGAAATTATATAATGAAGTTTATCAAGAGACTAACAGACATATTAAATAGAATGGTAATTTAATTCTGAGAAAAAACAATTTATGAGGTTAAAAAAAAAATTCAAATTTGATTTTAATCATCAGCACGGCATGCCTAATTCAAACTTGAAAGCCTATAAAGCTATTGAGGTTTTTTCTGAGAATACTTGTGAAAGTCAAGATGGGCTTTTGTTCGAGAAAAGACTGGAACATAAAACTGGGCAGAAAGTAGTGTGTGGGCTTATGCCTGAGCTGGGTTTATACTGAAGGAACTATGGTACATATAGGCCTAAATTCATCATCGTAATTATGCACCTTTTCCATTATTACACTGTGCACTTTATTAATTTAATTCTGTGTCAGTTACTATATCTGTCAATGACAGGGTTTATAAAAGGATATAAAAATAACATTACAAAAAAATAAATTTTATGACATGCAAGGTAGCCTTATGAATATTCATGATTATTTATTTATATAATATGAATATTTATAAGATATTCATTACACTCTTGACCAATCTGTAGAATTAGAAGCTGGTTTGCCTTGTGGTTTAGACATCAATTCGAAAGATAAGGACATTGGAATTTTTTAAACATATGCTGAATTATTCAAAATATCTCTGAAGAGAGCAATGATGTAATTGGCTGGATCATCAAGGACACAGACAGCTCCTTATCTTAAATAATATTAAAATTTAAATAATAGCAGAGTTAAATAATAGTAGAATTTAAATAATAGTAGAGTTATGTTGGCTGCCATATCAAAATGAGCATTTATTAATTTCACATTGGGCAAAATTAGAAGTAAATTGCTAATTCAGTAATGCATTTACTTATCGTCATTAATATAGGCCTATGTACAAGAGGATCAAGTTTGAAAAAAATACATTGGAATGATTGGCCTTGAGATTCAACTTCGGAGAATATGATAGAGCCTATTAAGAAAACTGCAGAATATTCAAACAGTATTTCTCCTATATTTCCCTTAAGGTTACTCAACGAATAATGATTCGCCCGAAGAATAGTTGATGATTACTGCCGTACCAACGAAATAAAAATGATAATTCAAAATACAATCATAGGATTCGAATAAGCCTAAATTCAGATTCAACAGCGAATGGTTTTACATATGAATTATTTTGGGCCGAATTTGATGAGCAGATCTGCGAACGGGCTAGGTTATGAATAGCAAGAGAGATTTTGTACGTTGTAATGTCTCCTGCCTAGTCTCCTAATGAGCGTTCGTCTATAGAAAGCCATCAATCATATCTTAACCATTAGTAAGGCTTTGAACCTCACTTGCGTATCGTGATGAATTCAAACA